CACTTTGTATACGGTAGCACATGAACCTTCGCCCAGCTTCTCATCGATAACCCATCGTTTACTGACTACTTTGCCCTCGGACATATCGATGAGATCCATCCAATCAGGCCTATTGTTTCGTTCGAGCCTCCAAGTTAATTCCTAACAAATAACAAAGAGTATCGATCTTTCCCTCACCCTTATAATGCTTTTATGGTCATCTGGAAATTCTTACTCAACGAATATGTAAATTTGCTGGATCACAATAAATTCCTCTATATATGTTGACTGTGAATGAGATCGTATATCTCATTCATATATACACCAGGTAGTGCAACTACGTGCGGTCGTTCTAGCTCCTTGCTCCTCTAATACGGGACGTAAGGAGAAATAAATTAGATGAATATTCCTGTCTGACTTCATGGGTTGACACGTTTAACTCAATGAACGTTGCAAATCTTGGACTGTCTAGGAAATCCAACGTTGATCATAGAATAGTGGGAGGAATTTGATTCAGATTTATTACCACATTTACCAGTGACCCATTCAAACTGAATTCACTGAATCACTTATACCAAGTCGCACACTGAATCACTTGTACCAACGTCGTTTCTTCCAGCATCTTTAGCTTGTTAATTCACTGTCCTATGGTGATTGTATGGTGGTTTTTGCAGAAACTTGTGTCAGTTACGATTAATAATGCCAATCACTGCCATTCATGCCCGTTACATCTACGATTCTCGGGGCAATCCAACTGTAGAAGTTGATCTTGCTACAGAGAAAGGTTAGCCAGCTTCTCGTCCATCTCAGCTGGTCATCTTGACTATTTTATTAATTTCTGTTATATTCGTGAACGATTCCCGTCAACTTCTAGGTATGTTTCGAGCAGCGGTGCCAAGTGGTGCATCAACAGGTGTGCATGAGGCACTCGAACTTCGTGATAAGGATAAGGGTGTTCATCATGGAAAAGGAGTCCTAAAAGCGGTCAAAAATATCAATGAGCAAATCGCGCCAGTACTGATTTCTAAAGTAAATTAAGTCCACTTCACCTGATTGTTCTTGTTGCAAGTTGCTTAAAAACAGAATGGGCAAGTTGCTTAAAAACGGTATCCCGGAATCTGTTATTTTCCATTTCCTGGCACAGTATTAAAATTAATATTAAAATGTATAAATATTAAATACGTAATTTATTAGAATATTATAGCTATTAGTAAAATTACTTATTTATTCTTCATCCATTAAAATATCACAATCATTAATGGT